TGTAAGTAAAGAGTTTGCTAATATTACTGGGAATATAATCATATTTAACATCGTACATTAGCTGTGCTACTGAATAAAAATAAAGAGATTTGATTGGTAGAATTTCATGTTCAATGAATATTGGTATTGCACTTTTAATTGATTTCACGAAAAATATTGACCTTAGAGCGCGCTTCTGCAGAATGAGCAATTTATCAGTAAGCTTTTTGCAAGCTTGACCCCAGGTACATATTCCATATATCAAGAGCGGCTGTAAGAGGGATAAAGGGTGTATACTTACAGGTGAGAACTGTGCAGCGTGTGAAGGTCGACGAGTAAAGTAAAGACCTTTGCCATATATTCCTTGCGTAAAATCTACGATAAAAGAATATCCAAAACCCTGACAAAGCCTCTGAGCTGACCTAAGTCAGGAAGCGGCAAACTCATAGACTGAATTGGGGTTTACCGCGTGTTCGTTTGGACGAGGGAGGAAAACCAGTGTTTGTGAGGTTTGTTTTACAGCGAATACTCTGGAAAACTTCGAGACCTTGTCTGGTGCTCGCTTAATAAAGGGTGCCCGCTGAACTGAGGCTCGTTTTAAAGTGAATATATGACAAGAAAATCTTGATATCCATAGATAGACCCTTTAAGCTTGTGTGTAACGTTTTCCCCATATCAGGCCACCTGTCGTTCTTTAGAGTATCATTTCTTTGTTTAACGATTTTGCATGAGGAGACAAATGAATATAGACAGAATTCAAACAAATAATCTTAAAGCGCTTTCCACTAAGTCCAACCGGTGGGTCCGTCAGTTCGCGTCAGTTTTTAGAAGTGGACCAACGTGGCCCAAAACAGTTCTAGGGACTGACACAAACCATTTGCGAACTGACCGCTCGCACTGATCGGTTCATACATATATACATACATACATAACTTTATTTAGTAAGGCAGGTCAATAAATAGGCAACTTTACAGCTGATATGAACCTACTATAATAATGATATTTACAATAAAATTGAATAAAATAGAAGTATAAAGTTAAATATTAAAGTATAAATACATTAAAATTAAAAATATCAATAAATCTTAGATACATATGTAATCACATTGATATAGATATATATATAAAGAATCATACGTCAATAGAAGTAAGAGTTAGAGTCCTTATTATAGATTACAGAACTACCCTTCCCAAAATTAATATTCATAACAATCTTTTTTTAATTGTTGTAGCTTTAAAAGTGCAGTCAGTTGTCAGTGCAACAGTTGTTCAACTTAGGCCCCGTCCACACGTATCCGTAAATTTTTGTATCCGCAAAATTTTTTTTGCGGATACGGGTTGCGTCCACACGTGTCCGCAAATTTTTGTATCCGTATCCACAAATTTTACGAAAACGGATACGTGTGGACGGTGAAAACGATTCGAATACGCTGCGTGTGGACGCAAACATTTTCGTATCCGCAAAAAATAATTTGCGGATACAAAAATTCCCGGATACGTGTGGACGGGGCCTTAATCAGTGGAAAGCGCCCTCATTCTTAAAAGAATGACACGTGGTCTGAAATGGGAAAACAACGAACGCCCAAGATGAAGGGATCTATTTTTACCTTCTTTAGTAAAACCTCTTGTGATTATATTGTCTATTTTGCTGTTGTCAGAGTAACCACCACAGAAGAACAGTTGTTTGACGATGGGAGGAGATTTGGGATTCCTGTGTTGATAACCTTCCAAACTGGTTTCTAACAATGCCACGTGACTGCACTCAACCTATCAAAAGACATTACGAATTKTGACGACTCTTAAAACTTCTGTGTGTGCGGGCTTAGCCTCTCATCTGAGTTCGGTAAACAAAAGCAGAAATCAGAATAATAAAACAAGCAACTGCTGGGTTCTAGGCTAAGCCCGCATACACTGGAGTTTTAAGAGCCGTCAATTACTATATAGACAGTCATATGACAAGGAATCTAAAGATGTGAATTAAGTTTCTTCAAGCAAATGTTTCTCGGAAACGAGAAAATATTGCTTGAACAAATCTAATTCAAATCCTTAATAACTGTCCAAGCACACAACAAAAAACACCTTGACAAGGAATCCGTATGGACATTTCTTGATACAGTGAACATGGTGCATCGTAGTCACAAACATATTTTGTATCAGCAGCGACCCAACAATAGTTCAAGAGAAAGTGCGAGGGCGAAAGCAGACGCGAAAATTCCCGCCAAAACCACAGGAACTCCGACTGTTGTTCCAACAATATTTTAATATATTTTAAATTTTTTATACAAAATAAAACCCAAGCCGGTTTTATACGTAACTGTTTATTATGCTTTTATAGGTGATGTTTGTACTCAAGCTAGACCACAATTCACCTTGTTTTGAGTAAAAATACAGTTATGGTTCCTTCTGCATAATGCTAAAGTTTGTACCTTGTAAATGTTTGTGACGTTAACGTCATCGTATAGCCCGGTGGCTAAAAGGCTTCTACGAGTTTGTTGCATGAGAGTTTTCTCGCTTTGGGAATGAATAAGAGATGACAGAAGTTCTTCGTCCTCTGCAAGTCGAGAAAAGAAAAGGAAAAAACTTTCTTTAACTCGTTTCGTCAATGTATGGTTCTGACTCAATACACTAACAGACCTTTCAGCTTGGAAGTAATGTTTTCCCATTTCAAACCACGTGTCAATCTCTGGAGTATCATTTCTTTGTTTAATGGTTGCACATGTGAAGACACATGAGTTCATAAGGATATAACCCAAACAAATAATCACTTGTTCTCAAGATAACGACACGTGGTCTGAAATGGTAAAACATCACACCCAAGGTAAGGAAATCTATTGCAGATCAATCACTGTTCAGTAGTAGCCGTTTTTCCAGTGAAATAATTTTTTTCTCTTACAAAATAAACTCAAAAATATAGTATTTGAGAGTATACTACAATGATTAAAATGTTTTCCCCTTTTCACAGACCAGTAAACAATGCACATGGAAATACAAAAGAAATGTCACAAATTCCATCGAGAAAAAGTGGGATTTCTTTTCTAATCTCAAGTTGGCCTCGCATCTACGATACTTTTGAGAAGGGTCCATTTAAACAAGTTATAAGCAACAGTTTTTAGGTTCTGAGGCATTTGCTTGAGCTCTTGGGACATTTGCAACGATAACTAAGAAGGTTCGGTATCATGGATTACTAATTTCTTCATACTTGGTTTTCTTGATCGGCGGTTGTTATCAGAGTGTTGAAGAATGAGGTAGTTGTTTTTGGGGTTACTCAATCCAAAGATGAGAAAAACAGCCTCGGGAGGTTCAAGGGTGTTCTTTTCTACCAGATTTGTAAAATCTATTTTGTGCTTTACGGGGTATTTTCACAACATATTGAGCCCCCAACCCTTCTCCCGTCGAAACAACATTGCTGAACTTGTCTGAAAAGTTTACCTTTGGAGACATCTCCAAAGTCTCCCCTAGAAATGGCTTCCATATCCAATTGACTGTGTTCTTCATTGATGTGCTGTTTGTTTAAGATAGATACAAGTGACTCGTAGAAGTCTTCATCTAAAAATGAGACAAAACACAGACTTATGTTCCTAAATGTCAAGATCCATTCACGGCTTTACCACTACTGTTGTGAATTTTCTCGCTTTCTGATTGGTCTAGAGACGGTAGACGGTAGAAATAGAAGGACACACCGATGAATTACGTCAGCAAATCACGCGCGAGCTTGAAACCCTGTTTTTCTTTCAAGTTTTACCCTTGCTTTTGTAGAAAATTTTTAAAAATTTTTGTGGAAAAAAAACAACAATTTCCTCCAGTTTTCCATGGTATATCCTCTTATTTACCACTTTTTTCATCTAGCCGTCAAAATATGTTGTGGACTCCCTCGGCTAAATAAGAGGATATGCCACGGAAAACTGGAGGGAATTGATTAACTGGTACATGTGGCATCACAGATGCCATCTTTGATAAACAAAATAATCCATCCCTAGCTATGAAGCCGATGGTAGATTTTGATAGGTAAAGATATATGTTATTTACAGGGAGTGATTTATACTTTCTAAAATAGTGGTTCACTGGTTACCAGCCGTTCTTACCGTCTGATTCTTTTTCGTCCAAGTCTATAACAGCACTTTCTTCTTTTTCCAGCTGCATATCGAGTATTTTTTTCTCTGGGACAAAAAAAACAAAAGAAAACTACAGACATTTGAAGATACCAAGGTGCATGGTAGCGACATTGTTCGCAGTAAAGGAATTGCTTGCATT